CCCCAAAACCCCAAAACCCCAAAACCCCAAAACCCCATGTGATACTTAAGCTATTGAAATTTCACATCTTTAGGTCTCATTATCTAGAATTTATCTAAAAAGTTCTTGAAGAACTTTCTCAATTCTGAATGGACTTGCTCATCTTGGCATGCATTCTCAACCAGCTCCTTGAACTCTTCTTTATCGATCTCTATATGGTTGATCAGGTAATTCTTCACAATTCTGATAAAAACAGCAGGGTTGGCTGAAAACCCTCCTGCTTTCTTTTTTGGAACATCAAGCTCTCCTAGATCTGCCTGGTCTGTTCTTGACCCAGTATTATCGGTTGGATAAAGCCCTCAAGCCTCACTGAACTCTGGAGTTGATTGCCCTAAAATTTTAGGATTTAAGGTGACTTTGTTGTTGAAAAGACTATGACATTTTCTACCTGATTTAACCTGCTTAGGTTCTGGAAGAAAGCAATTGTTTAGAGTTAAAATTGAAATACTTCTTCACTGCACTCTGAAGCAAGAAGAATAGATTTTTAACTGACAGATTTGAAGCTTTCTTTAGTTTAGAAGTAGGTAGAGATTTTCCAATATCATCTTCCTTCTGAGGACCTATAACTGTAAATTGAACTTCAAAGCCTCGATAGGAAGATTCATTTGTTCTAATAGCACATGTTTAACGTAGTTTGGGTTAAACTCAGAACCTTCCTTGCTCTCTTCTTCATCCGGACCCTTTTTGATCTTTGGAACTGATACTCCAGGTTGGTCTTGGTCGTACTTAAAATGCATATCAAATAGGTATTGGTCCAGATAAAATTTGAAATTTTGCGAGGATATGAACTTAAGAATGTAGTCTACCAGTCCAATTTTGTTCTGAAAACTATGCCCAAGATTATGCACTAAAGATAAGATTAGACTTGATATAAAGAGAGCATATAAGCTCATTGCACTATAAACTGCCTCAAGATAAAGCTTCAACTGTGAAGGTTTTAGCAGCAAAAATCAAGTAATGGTAAACATACCTGGAAAGATAGAAGTGTTGGTTTGATTGGAAATCAATAATCTGCCCATGTTTGTAGAGTATCCTTCCAAGCATTTGAAGAACATCTTGAGTAAGATCTCAGTACTTTGTTTGTCCATGAGGCCACACTCATATTGGTGCTCATAAAGAACATGGAGAATAAGCTTGACCAGGTTCAGTTTGCCACTTTTCTTATCGAAAACATCTTCTCTGCTGTAAAAGTTTGTATCAACTGAGATTTTCCCAGAAGGTTCAAAGTAGTTCATGATTCTATCACTTTTAAGAAAAATAGCTCTTCTTTTGAAAGCCCAAGAGAAGAATTCTTCTCCTCTTTCTTCATAAAAGTCCAAATCAATATTGTTCTGCTGCGTCATGGAGATCAGGATATCCTCAGTCTCCTTGATCTCTTCAGGAGTCAGTGTTTGTTCGAGATTAACACAGCTCTGATAGATGTTTAAAAGAGTTGGAAGGATCTCGGCAGCAGTCCCGATCGTATTGAGACATGAGCCCTGAACACTAAATTTCCGAATAGCTATGCAAGCAGGTTTGGATTTATTTAGATTCTATAAGAAAAATTAATATGAATTGTTAAAATGTAGATCAACTCAACACCATTTAATCCTTTTTGACTCCTATTATGTATTCCCAGAAAGTTATCAAGATATTTAAAATATGAATCTTAAAATTTGCTCTAGTTAGCTCAGCACTTCTACTTTTATTTGCTAAGAAAATATCGTCTTAATGTCTGGAATTCAACTAATTTTGAAAATAATCTAGATTAAGCTATCTATTTATTCATGAAAGACTATGCAAAATTGACGAAGGTAATTCCGTATTTTACTTATCGTGAGATTTTACAACTTAACCATAAAACTTACTTCTGGACATGATACCATCTAGATCTAGAGAACCCACACATTTAGTTTTTCCATAAAACTCAACCTTGATATAACATCCAAGAACGATATCAGGCATTAGAGAGAAATACTGGTCTTTCTCGACTTTCTCTGCTTGGAATAATCTAGAGGTATAATGGTAGTGATCTTTGCGAAATCCAACTCTGAATCTAACCTTCGAGGGTGCAAAAGCAGTTCCAAGTATTCCCATAGATCTCACTGGTGTGATCCTTATATTGATGAAATTACAGTTAAAGGTTTATGTGTCTTATAAAGGAGCCACTCTGGCTTATCATCCCGGTTTAGCCATTGAGAACTCCAGTATGAATCCATTACTAAGTTTGTAGTATTCATGATACTATGGTTATTTTTCTTTTGAGGAACTCTCTAGTGGTGTCACTCCAATACGTTCTCTTTGAGAGCTTATGATAAATTTTCTGATTTTCCTAGCAATAGTTATAGCTGATAAATTCTTTTCTTGAACTAAGGTTGAATAAATATCAGGTATCCTCAGAAAGATGTTGCCATGGTACTTTCCACTAGTGTCTACTTTGATTCCACTAGTTACAAGTCATTTACTCTCCTCTACTGGTGTTTCTGAAGGAAAATCAAGAACTTTAAGCCAGATTTCATTTAAATCTTTGTACGCATAAAACTGCTTGCATGTTGATAACACCTTAAAGACCTCATAAACCTCCAAATACCCCAAAATACTTCCAAGATTATACACTCCTACATCCTTTAGGCCAAAATAAGATTCCATTTCTTTAAAATATTATACCCAAATTCTTTAAAATCCTATTTTTAAGCCTAAATCTGGGGTTTTGGGGTTTTGGGGTTTTGGGGTTTTGGGG